CGGCCCCTGATGGATGATAGTGCAGCTCAGCATGCTTTCGGCCCATCGGTGCGGTACGTCGCTTCGCCTCGTCAGCTCTTTTCGCACAATGAGCGCATGTTCGCTACGCACCGAGATGGCGGCATTGCAGCTCCTAGCACAGTGCATGGCGCGATGCAAAGCACCGACCACCCTGCTCCGCTCGAGACCGAAGCACGGAACGTCGCGCTGCCCGACCACACTGTACAATCTCCCTCGTCGTACGCATCGAGGCTCAGACACTTCACGATGCCACCGGCGCCGCACTGGTAGAAATGCCGCTTGGTGAAAGATGTACCTCATCGACGCATCGCGTGTGCCGCCTTGCTCGGCATCTCGCGACGAACGAAGACAGCTGTATGCGTTGAGCATCACCTGACCGTCCCGTAGCTGGCTTCTCGAAACACCCTCGTGTCAGAGACGTACCCGTTCACCAATTTGTAAAGCTCTCAATTCCAAGGTGTGCTTTTGTAGTCCCTCAAAATGACCCCTACGCTCTCGGGTCCGTTGAGTCCCACTTCGCTAGCCACTGCTGTAATGTACCTGGCAGGCGTGAGGTCGTAAAGCAGGCTCTTGACGCCCAAGTTGGGTGCTTGCAGATCCGTCGGCCGTAATCGAGGGTTGGCAGCGGCGCTGTCGAAGCTGAGCAAGTTGAGAGGATCGCCTGTCGAGCGCGTGGGTTGATCGCGATCAGCGCGTAGGAAGCCATCATCGCAGTCCCGCTGACCGAGCCACTCACCCGCTTCGTTGCCCACTAGCGCGTCCAATTGCACCCTCTCGCTAAATTTGAAAGTCTCGCAAGCGACAATGCTAGGTACGCCCTTGGCATGTGCAATCAGAGCTACGCTGGCCGTTCCTGCTCTAGCGTACAGACTGCCATCCGCCAGTAGACTAGCGGTGCCGAGGATTGCCAGACTCGCATCCCCAATAACACCAGGCAAGCTGTTGAGCAGCGCATACTCGCACTGGATGCCAGCCTCGAGCAAGCTGGCCAGTGTCCTCCTGCCTTCGTACAGTGGACCCGAGTCCACCACGATGACTCTGAAGCTTTTACCGCGCGACGAGGCAGAGATGAGCGACGCTTCCACTACGCTGGATCTGCCATACGTCAGCACGACCTCTCCCGCTGCCCGCAGCTTTTGATAGATGACGTTTTGAATGACGGTGGATGCCAAGATGATCCTGTCTCGAATAAAGTGGTCTATGCGAGAGATGATGTGCTGCTTGGCCTGCAACACGAGTCGCATCCAGACGTTCGTTGGACGTCAGCCTCTGCGCGCGCGTCTGGCACGTGGCACACGCCTACAAGCCCACTCACTCACCTGCTCTTGTGCCAGGCTGGGATCGAGCAGGCTGACTTCGTACTTGAGATAGCGGATAGCGTGAGCCACACCCTGCCCCAAAGGTCTGGCATGGACCAGCGCATTGATCTGCGGTGCCAATTTGCCGATCAGGTCTCTGCTGAGCACCGCCCCCTTTGGCGTCCTGTAATCCCTGACCACATCCTTGAATGCGCCCAGCACGCCAATGGTGCGTGCAGATGCGCCCATCAAGTTGAAGGTGGAGATGAGAAAGGAGAGTCGAATGATGCTGGGATGCAATGGAGCGTGCGTACTGCCAATCTTTGAAGCGAGAAAAGCGTCGTGGGAGCGCGGATGTCGATCCGCCACGTTGCTGAACAAGCGGCTCGGCTCTTCGTACACGCCGTCCCTCTTTTCTCGCGAGGAATCCTCCGAGGACGCTATTGGGGCGCCTGGTGGTGCTTGATGAGCAGCAGCAGCAGCAGAGGATGATGGCGATGATGATGATGATGATGCGGCGTGGGAGCTTGCTTGAGTAATGGCAGGCGGCGGCGGCGGCGCATCGGGCTGCGAGACTGGCGCGCTGCTGGTTGTTTTGCTGCGTCCGCTCGAGCTTGCACCGGGAGCAGCAGCAGCAGCAGCGAC